GGAGATTGTTTGATATTCCCTACAAAGCTACGCAGCCAAAGTCTGAACACAGGAGAGAGAAGGGGACTCAATGACTTCTTGTGGCCAACAGAGCAGAATGGCAGACTGAGAGCCCACACCCGGATGTAATATATTTCCCTCTGGGGCATCTCCTGGCAGTGCAGCCTGCTCTCATGCCCCAGGACCACAGGCAGCCCACAAACAGGTCACTGGGGTGGGGAGGAAGGCCCGCATTGAACAAGCTCACGTGACCACACCACTTTGTAAGCAGGTCCTCCACTTCAACCTGAGTCTTCAGAGACTTGAGTCATGCAAAGGAGCAGAGTCAGGGCTACAGAATGGGGCTGCTCCTGGATCCCTGACCCTTGGACACCGTGTGAGATATGTTTGCTGTTTCTTGCTCTCAAACTCTGGGGTTTTGTCTGTTATACCCCCTTTTCTTCACACCCTGCTGTATCTCTCCATCCTTTTCATGTCCCCTCCCTTTGTCCAATGGGCTCACCTCACTTTGGATTTCTACACACCCCTCTAGTTGCACCTCAGTTGACCATCTGTCCTTGCTGTCTTTCCCCCCACGAGAGGATAGGAGGCACCTGTGTTGGAAAAGTGCAGAACACACTCAGCATTCCGCCTGTAGCACACAGAATGTGCTCTAGCACCCAAGAGGCGCTGGCCGGTAGTTACTGCAGAAAGCAGAGCATAGGATATGACCCCGCAGGATGCCAGGGGCGCTGAGCATCGAGCACCTCCAAAGCATCACAGTGCTAGCAAGAGGAGGCAATGAACTGAAGGACTAAAATAGGAGATGCAAGGCAAGTAATAAAAATCCAGGTGCAAACGGGAAAACACTATTTCAATGACATTATATGCCCTGAATCTACAGACGTTCTACCTGTAGCTGGCAGAGAAATATTTATACCTCTGAAAAACAGTAATCAGTTTAGCACTGGGAGTTTCACCTCTTGCAGCTGATCTGGGTAATTTCATCACCGTAACTTACCAATAATTCTATATTATCCAGAGCGATACCAAATTGTAACACATGAAAAAATTGTAGAACAATCTACATCCATGAGAAGCTAACTAAAAAAACATAGTAATTGGTAACTGGGATACTTTAATTTACATGACAGAGGCATGGTAACTTATTTCTGATAGTAAGCTGTAATAAAATTGTTTTTTGTGGAATGTTCCATTAATTAATCATCCAGCAGCATCCCTTTATCCGTACAAAGTTATTGCTGTTCCAAATAGAATTGACAGCTGATTTAGTTGAGAAGAAATTTAAATAACTAATGATGTATACTAAATATATTTAAGAGATACTTTATTTTTATTTCAGGCAAATGGTGGCTTTTTTTCCCCTAGAGATTATCATATTCATGAGCACTAATTGGTTTATTAAAATTTCTTTAATAAGGTCTTAATTACTTTCATTTGATCCTTTATTTTGTTTTAGTGGGGGTAATTGTGGTTTCTTAACCTGAAAGAGATGACTATCTCCATTTAAAAAAATGAACAAAACCCACGCTTTCAGAGCAGCAAGCCACAAACATGGCCTCTGGGCCATACAGGTCTTTATTTCACCCTTCATTTGCTTGAAGCTACTTTGATTTTTACTATAAAACCTGAGGAAGAATTCCAACAAAAGGTGGGCCTCTTAAAACTGCCCAGAAGAAGTCTGGGCTTAATTTCTTTTAAATGTTTTAAAATTATTTCTTTAAAATTAATCAGTTTATGAAAAATTAATGTATGCAATTATGAGGGTTTAGTTTAAGGAACACTTTCATTTAGTTAATTTTGAGAGTGACAGTTTGTGTACCTGAGGAAGGGAGTGGAAAAAGATAAATGGAATCCAAACCTTGTTTTTATTGAATTTTAAGAAACCATAGGCCTACGGGCCGGGTGTGCTAATGCACACCTTTAATCCCAGCACTTGGAAGGAAGAGTCAGGGAGACCTCCGTGAGTTCTAGGCTAGCCTGGTCTACATAGTCAACAGAACATATAAGGCTCAAACACAACCGCAAAACCCCATATCTTTATCGTGTGTGTTTGGTACTTTGGCTACATGTATGTCTGTGCCCACATTCATACAGCTCCCACAGAAGCAAGAAGATGGAGTCAGAGCCTTTGAAACTGGGGTTACAAGTAGCTGTGAGCCACTGTGTGGGTGCTTGATTCTAATTCACGTCTGCAGAGAGAGCAGTCAGTGCTTTTCATTGCTAAGTCACCTCCAGCCTCAAAAGAGTTTATTTTGTAATAAAATCAGAGTGGGGCTTAGTGAGGTCATTGAAAGGGAGCGGAGAGGGAACATATTGATTCTTTTCCCACCCTGATTCATTCATACCTATAGTGTTGAGCTGCTGATGGAAGTCTAGGAGCCCTGAACTCCTGCTGGGTTATCTATAGGCACACTGTGTACCTCTGGATATTTATGCTCACATCAGTAGTGTTCACAGATTCTAAATGTGCACTTAAGATGTGAAGGGCTGAAGGTGTGC